TTCCTTCCTTCCTTCCTTCCTTCCTTTATGAATTTTACAAATAATTCAAAGTGGCAAACACATCCAATGCTCTTCCTCCACCTTTTTTCCACGCAACAACAATCCTGTGAGGTGGGTTGGGCTGAGAGACGGTGCCCAGCCCAAAATCACTCAGCTGGCTTTTGTGTCTTAAGGCAGAACTAGAACTCGCTGTCTCCTGGTGATTGGCCCAAAGTCACCCAGCTGGCTTTCCTGCCTGAAGCAGGACTAGAACTCAGAATCTCCCGATCAGTAGGCTTTAACTACGAAACTGGATCTCTTTATAATAAGCAAGTTGGTAAATGTTGATCATGAGACTCTTGCTGGTCACTTGGACTGTAACTAATCAAAGCTAGTCGCTTAGTCTATGAAAATAAATATTAAGCTGTAATAGTTCAGCATTATTTTGAAGTTTATCCTCCGCTGAGGAAAAAGGAACAATATTTTTGAAGACAGAAATTCTGTGCACATGGGCACATTAGAACTGTTTTCCTGTAATCAGTGTTTGATCGTGCTTCCCTCGTAGACATCTTATAAGAGTACTTTCTCACGAACTGTGTGAAAAATCCTCATTCTGTAATACTTTTTTTTATGTGAATGAAAATCTTTTTTTAAAAAAGAAACACCTTACCTGTTCTTTAAGTAATTCTTTATAGGTTTTGGTGCCTTAGTACATTTCTTTTGTTTTTTAAAACCTCCTGCAAAACAAAAGAAAACGAAAATCTTAAAAATACGTTTACATGATAACGTTAAAAAGAAAACACGGACCATAATTCAGCTGCGTGTTTTTCCCTCCTTCAGCAACCTCTCCATTAATTTCAGTTACTTATAAGTTGACTAGCCTGCTACTAAAATTAAAAGGGATCCTCCCATAATTTCTACAGAAACATTCATTTTTATGATCATTTATACATCAAAATATATCTCAGTCATTTAATTTAACATGACACTTATTAATCAGTTGGCCCCTCCATATTATAAGGCGTGTTTTTAAATTCTGCTTTCAAATCTGTTCTAATACAGTACACCCAGTGGTGGGATCCTCCGGTTTAACAACCAGTTCGGTGATCACGCGATTTGCTGCGCGCGCAATCTGCCTCTGCGACGTGAATCAGCCGAGAAGATAAAGGTAGGAAAATAGCGCGGGCGGGCAGGTGGGCCCGTCTGATTGTCAGGGTGAACCAGTTTGATCCCAGCTGGTCGTCAGAGCTACTAGTGCGCCTGAATCCCACCCCTGAGTACACCGATATTGTTGGAGAGGAACTTTCCCAGTCAAGGAAGAGGGATCAAATAGGGAATTAGTGAGGACTCATTATGTAAACACAAGAGGGGAAGGTCTCCCTTAAATGCCTTTGAGCCTTATCTGGTCTCTCTCAGGTGAATCTGCCAGTTTGGGAACATTCCTGTATTATAGGCAGAGAACAATAAAGTAGCTACTTTTAACTCTACATTTGTGGGTCTGATCGTTTGTGCCTGACATAGTCAAAACATTCTAAAGGTAACATCCTCCAACATCACAAGGAGAAGAGCGAGAACCAAGTCATAAATGTTCTCATCTCATTCAGGTTTCATAGGACAAACAGGCTGATTTTTGGGATGCAGAGATTCATTTCTCTAGGCCGAATCTTCAGGATCCAACCAAAACAGCATTCTCTCTTTTCTTTGGTTAATCATGATTGCCGTTGACATGTTTGGGAAATCACACACAAGGGACAATATTGCCCCTATGGTTAGTGGTATTATTTGAATGCAATATATTGCAAAATGAGTGCAATTATGCACCATTTGGAGCCCATTAAATGACTGGTATGAATGTGCGTTGTCATGGGGGTGGGGTTATTTATTACTTTTATTATTTTTTATTTATTTTATATCGTGCTTTTATTGTCCTTGTAAGCTGCCTTGAGAGTAGGCGGCAATATAAACTTTCTAAATAAATATAGAATTAAAATATAGCCCAGCAAGACATCCCTGCAATTTTTAACTCTTTCCCCACCCACATTAATTGCCTGCCTTAATAAAATTAAAAAATCTATATTAATCAAGTGCTAATCAACCCCTTAAACATAAACCCTCCTCATTGCATTTGCTACTTGCAGTGTGGTTACCTACCTATATTATCAAAGAACCTGGTAAGTTTTTGCTGATCAGAAAACCCTACAGGATTTCTTTTCTGGACACTGCAGTGTTTGAACTGATTCCAAACTGGATTCTGGTTTATTGCATTTAAGCTTTGGTTGTTAAGGGTGCAAATCATTTCTGGAGCTGTGAGGATGCTTGTGAGGTCCCTCTCAGCCGTCTGGTGGGTAGGACCCGTCACCTGTTGGGTTTCTTCACTGTCGTACAGGCTGGGTTTACCGAAGATTTCTTTTGCATTGCCAAAATCTGTGAATAGCTGGTCAATATGGCTTTTGTTAGCAAAAGAACAGTAAGACTGAGAAGGAGGAAACGTCAGAAATTGATTTTCTTCTTCAAACACGCTTGCAATTGGCTGGAAGTTTGCATCTTGGTTAGTCTTTATCTGGTCGTTTATAGTACCAAACAATGATTCTTCTTCGTTTGCTTGACTGTTTCCGGAATCCTTATCAAAGGAATTACCATATCCTGGACTTATTGGGGGGGAAAAGATGAAATGTGAATTGTTGGTATGTTACAGACAGTATCAACGTGTAAGGTTTTAAAATTTATTTTTTACTCAATATGAAAGAGGGACTTCTCGCTCATATGACATTATGTTGGGGTTTATAAATCTGCAATAATTATAGATTTTTATTCATAAACCAAAACTGGAAATCTGAGTTTCCTATATTTCATTTGAAATATTTTGTTCGACAACTGTGATTAACCAGTCTAACCACTGTATGTCACTGTGGCTCCATTAATGCCAGGAAAAGAGGTAATAAAAATTACAGGAAATGATGTCAGAGTATAAAATACCTAATGAAACATCTAATAGTTTTTAAAGGTTTTGATTTGTACCATGACTGGTGTTATACCTAATATTTTAAACAGATCAAATAGAACCAACAATGCTGTATTTAATCATCCATTCATTTATCTGAATGTGTACATTTCAGAAAAAAAGAACTACCATACTCTGTTACATTTGATAATATTCTCTTTAATTTGGATATTACTTAGGTAGTGCTCAAATACATTTAGCTTTAGGTATTTAAGCTCATGTGTAAATACGATAGTCTAGCAAAATGAGCAAGACAGCCGGAAGATAAGCAGAATTCTGATTTCTATATCAGACACGGCTGCAAGTGTCTGTTTATTTTCAATAAAACAGGTCACTTTTGGGAGATTGAGGAGAACTAAAGTAAGACTGGTATAAATTTGATCTGTTTCCTGCACATAATCTCAAACAATAGCATAAGGCTTCAACAATATAATTGTATATGTATGTGAAATATAATGAAATAATAATTGATTAACCCCCGCTTTTTGTAAGAAATTATAATTTTATTGAAAATTCACACGGAAAAATGACTATTACAAAGCAAGGGGTTTTCCCCACAAAGATGATGATGCATTTAAAAGTAGGGCAATACAATTAATAAATAATCTATTTTTACCTAGGCAGTTGCTGAAAATATAGACCAACTTGTGCTTCTGAATCTGGTGCAGAGAATTCTTCTGGCCTGTATGCTGTCGTAGAAAACCAAGAGTCTTCTTCTTTATTATTTACTGGCCAAGAAGACCCTAACTCCTGTCAATATATTAGAAAAAGGTTTCATGACAGATTAGGCATCTTCTAAGAAATTTGTTCATTTTATAAACTTAACTTCAATAATAGGAATACATTTTTTTCTTTAGAGAAGAACTGGCCAACAAACAGTTTATTCTTTTACTTCATGGAACTGTCCAGTAATATGCATTTATTTGTTTTATGATGCCTGTATTTTATTGGGGTTTTTAAGGGTTTTTTATTATACTGATGGATGTATATATCATTTTAGTATTATTTTGGGAAGGGGATTCACTAGAGCTATGCAATGAAGATGAAGCTTATATTAAAAGCCTTCTATTCTACAAAATGACATTAGAATTGCTCTAAAATTCACGCCATAAACCCAAACCATTGTGTTACATCTGACACAGAGATACAAGTGATAAAGCTTTACTGAAAAAGCCCTTACTTCAGAATGAACACTGGCTTTTTCGTAGAGGTATTTTCTTCTACTATCCAAGATTTCTTCTTGTATCCTATGAAGAAAACAATTTAACAACTGTAGCGATTCATTTAACAACTGTGGCAAGAAAGGTTGAAAATGGGGCAAAACTCACTTAACAACTCTCTCGCTTAGCAATAGAAATGGCTACAGGACTACCTGTAGCCTAAATCTGGGGTCGTTGAGGATGATAATCAGCAAATTAAGTGCATGTTTTTAGGTGAGAATGTGTAGCTAATTGTTTATAACTTTCCATAAAGAGAAATGAGGTTGAAAGTTTTGAACTAGGGAGTTTTCCTTTAACAGTTGACAGTAACTTGATGTCCTGTAATCTACTTTCTCATGAGTTTAGGAACATGGAAACGTTTGAGATTTCTTAATGAAGAGTTGTTGTTAGTTAGGGTCGTGTCTGACTATTGCAACCCCATGGACAACGTTCCTCCAGGCCCTCCTGTCCTCTCCCATCCTCTGGAGTCCATTTAAGCGCACGCCGACTGCTTTGGTGACTCCATCCAGCCACCTCCTTCTCTGTCGTCCCCTTCTTCTTTTGCCCTCCATCATTCCCAGCATGAGGCTCTTCTCCAAGGAGTCCTTCTTCCTTCTCCTTAAGTGGCCAAAGTATTGGAGTTTCCTCTTCAGGATCTGGCCTTCTAAGGAGCAGTCAGGGTTTACCTCCTGTAGGACTGACCAGTTGGATGGCGTTGCAGTCCAAGGGACTCGCAGGAAGGAGTCTTCTCCAGCGCCAGAGTTCAAAGGCCTCCATTCTTTGGCACTCAGCCTTTCTTATGGTCCAACCTTCACAGCCATCCATTGCAACTGGGGAAACCATAACCTTAACTATATGCACTTTTGTTGGCAGGGTGATGTCTCTGCTTTCTAGTAGGCTGTCTAGATTTGCCATAGCTTTCTTCCCCAGGAGCAAGCGTCTTTTGATTTCTTGGCTTCAGTCCCCATCTGCGGTGATCTTGGAGCCCAGGAAAATAAAATCTGTCACTACCTCCATTTCTTATCATGATCACAATATCTTATGGATATAAACAGCCCTAAGATTTCATTACATTTCATTCTTCTTTACATGGTCCAGATCAATTTTAATGCAAGGCAATACTTGCAAGAAGGAAATGATCTGGAAATCTTAGTACTTTAAGCATACTATGGAAAAATAATTGGCAATGACAGTTATCGGGGGTGGGGGAATTGCACTTGAATATGCAGACCATGAAAGAAATGAAAACATTTCACTAAAATGGGAAAAGATAATTGACATTTTATGTACCTGTGCTGGATGTCATCAAGGGACAGCTTAGCTGGTCTGCATTCTGGTGACTTGGGAAAATCTACGTTTTGCTTTCTCAAAGGAATTTGAGTTCCTCTGTTAATATCTACATGAATTGGCTTTCGAATATTCTCTGTAGTTAAAATGAAGATTATTAGCAAGATTACAGCGAGTTAAAGAGGAACAGTATATATCTATCTCTATCCCTCTATCTCTATTTTATATATTTCTCTCTATCTCTAATGTTTACACCTCTGTATCTCTATATTTATATTTAAAGGGGAAGAACCTGGCCAGTTTTTCAGATTCAGATCCAAATAGGTAATTGCCATGAGATCTTAGGGAAAAAAGGCAGCTACTTTATGGAAGGTAGACAGATGTTTTGCTCATGATCTTGTGTTTCAAACGATGTGGATCCAAATGATTGTACAGCTCTAATTCCCACTAGCAATTGACAAACACGGTATTATGGGTTACAGCTTTTTGTGCCCAATTTCTACTAATTATGACAACAAACTTGAGGTTCGGATGAAAAATATAGTTGATATTTGATGAAATGAATATTGAGGCTACAGGGCAGCTAGGACTTGGTGATGTCCTAACAAAGAAGAGGGGGGTCAAATTATTCTCCAAAACACCAGGGGAAGGAAGGACAAGAAATAATGGATGGAAGCTGATCAAAGAGAGAAACAATCTGGAATTAAGGAGAAATTTCCTAACAGTAAGGACAATTAACCAATGGAATGACTTGTTTCCAGAAGTTATGGGTGCTCCATCACTGGAGATTTTTAAAAAGAGATTGGACACTTGTCTGAGATTTTATAGATTCTCCTGCTTGAGCAGGGGGCTGGACTTGAAGACCTCCAAGGTTTCTTCCAACTCTATTCTATTCTACTCTATTCTAGTCCAGTCTTTTAAAATTTAACTTTGTCCGTGAAATACTTACCAGCATTTTCTTTCTTTGTAGAGATCTGATTAACAACGTAGAGGTTGAGAAGGTCCAAACTGACAGCTGAGCTTTTCAAAGGAGATACTCCCACTAACTTCATCTTTGACTTAAGTTTCTCCTTTTCAAAAAAATCCTATTGAGAAGCGGTAGCAGTTATCACATATATGTTCATATGGGACATTTTGCGACCTTCTGGCAAGTAAAGTGTGTGTGTATTAGATAGATAGATAGATGATAGATAGATAGATAGATAGATAGATAGATAGA